GAGGCTGTCTACAAGGAACTATTTTTTCATATCCAAGCTTACTTTTGTCTCTCTGAGTGAATAATTGAATTTTTATTATTATTATTATTTGTTTTAGATAGGAATTATCTCCTAGTTGACTTCTAATGTAATGGCTCAATTAAATATTCAATATCATTCCGTTCTCAAATTTATTTCATCAAATCTTTATTCTTAAATTTAATTTATTTAAATAACATTCTTTCCCATCTCAAATATTCTCTAGAAGAATTATAAAGCTTCAAAATAAATTATGCCGACTTGATGAAGTAATGGTATTTCTAGTTTAAAACTATATTCTTTGGAGAAGATTGTATTAATTCAGGATTAAATATAACAAGATCCTTAAATGAGGTAACAAAAGAACTCTAGAAAAACAACAATTATATTTTTGCAATTAAGAATATCTTTAATTTACTCTTTCACCAGATGTTAGGAATATAGAAATCTATACTTTTAAACAGATTGTAAAAGTCATACTTATTAAATAAGGAGGGAAGGAAAATAAGAGGCTACTAACCAATATGGGTACTAAAGATTTTAGTCTAGTTCAATACATGGATTAAAGTTGTGGGAATATGAAAATAGCCTAATAATTAGGTTTAAGGATTTATGTAATTACTGATAAATTTATGATACGAAATTAAAAAGTTAAAAGGATCACTAACTTAGTAAGAATAACCTTTATATAAATCACTACCAAAGTTTAATAACCGTAAATTAGTAATTTTTTAAGATCAAAAGATAAAAATTTAAAACTCAATATTACTATCCCTTTAATAAACATTAAACCAAGGTATCCTTTTATGCTAAATTTCCAAAAATAAGCTTTAGAAAGTTTAGATCTTAGTTAATCGGTTAGTGAATAACATTTTAATCTTTTATTGAGTTAAATATCAATTATTAAATCTTAAAACTGTCTTAAAGAGATTGTTATTATTTCAATATGAGAAAAATTTTTCAAATTATGAGGAAAAACCCTCTAGATGTTAAGAATTTTATCAAAGATATTTTTAGAAGAATAATCTTAACAAATAACTAAAGTGAATAACTATTTCTTTGACTAAACTATTTATAGAATTTTTAAAGTTACTAATGCAATTTATTTATAAAAAGTTCTCTATCAAATCTTTCCGATATAAATTAATGATTTATCTGAAATTGTAAAGGAGAAGGAAATGTATCCATAACTAGAAAACAAGAGAAATGATTCATTCTTTATAAATGTATTTGACTAGATTCATAAAATGATCTTAGATCCTCCAAGTAAATAGTATTCCTGCCCATTTTATTTAAACCTAAAGACTCAAAATTTATTACTTATGCTCAATGTTGAAGAGTCACTTTAATGATTTAAAATTTAATATTTCAATTATAAGATATTAGATATAAGGAAAAAAAACAGGATTAAGAATCTATTTTTTTTCTTGAAATTGCTATATATTTTTACTCTAATTAACAATAGCGGATTAGGATTATTTATCATTTTTATCTATATTTTATTAGAATCACCGTTTTACTTTCATCTCTTCAAGTTTCAGATATACTTTACTTATGAATTAAGAATGTTACAAGAATTTAATTGTCCCTTTATAACATTTACAAATTTTCTCTATCAAACAGAGAATATCCTATTTTCATTCATCCGTAATTAAGTACTTTGGCTCTATCAACCATAAAAATAGTGTCACTTTTCTTTTAGTTATTGACTTAGCCTCATTGTAATAGATTCTTTAAATTGTGCACAAAAAATTTAATAAATTGGATAATTATATATTTAACAAGAAAATGAAAATGTAATTGAAATTAATTCATTTATATTTACTAATAAATATTATATGATTGATAAGAAAAGCTTTAAGTGAATTCTCCATAGTTTTTTAAAAATTGTATTATTTCAAACTGGTTTAGTATTAGAATTAGATTCTATTACAATAGTTATTAATTATTTTATATGCAAATATTCACATTTTTGATTACCTATTTTAAATTGTGAAAATTAAAAAATTTATTTAAAAAAAATCAAAATACTGTCATGTTTTTAAAATAAAAAATAGTAGTGATTTCAATTTATTTTATATTATGTTTAAGTCTTATTTCATAAATTTTTTATAATATAGGGAAAGTAAATAGAAATTTATTATTTATATATTTATTCTCTTCCTTTTTTGGCCACCTTCATTCTTGTAACCCTCAAATTTTGTGGATGGGTTTAAATAAATAACTTAAAAGCATTAAATTTTAAAAAATCAGAGAATTTCTAAAGAGTTAATAAACTAAAATATATTTAAATAAAGAACCTTATTTTACTCTACAACTTCTATTTTTTTACTAGTATTTAATTCATATAATTTCTATACTTCTATTTATAAATGATTACTTGAGCTAAGGAGCCTTTATAACTTCAAAACCTTTCTATGTAATCAAGAAGAATGGAGTCCAAATTATTACAATAGATATACAATATTTTATATTAATGTAACATTTGATAAAGATAAACTAACTAATCCATAAAATTACTATATGGCAAATATTGGTCCACATTCTTAAAGTAATTTTAAATAAAAGGAAATATTGGTTCTTAAGAAATTGATATGATCCTAAATTCTTTAGTCTGCTATTTTAATGGAAATTATGTCAACTTCATTAATGAATGTTTTGCTATACATATATACTAAGGAATTTAAAACTAACTACATAGTTGTTTTTTCTTATAACAAGTTTAATAATGGCTTTTTCTCTTTTAAGTTTTGGTAATATACAATCCTAGCCAATATTATCAATAGTTTTCCTAAAAACCTTACAAAAAGGGAAAGCCAAATTAATTCGTTTTTGAATTCACTAACAATAGAATACCAAATCCTATGCTTCATTATATTTAAAAGAATAATATTCTTGTATTCTCATAAAAAAGACAAACTGTAATGATACAAAACACAATAATTTTTAAAGAAGGAGCTGATCTAGAAACTTCAATCATAAAAATTTGATGTGAAATCAAGATGCACCCAACTTAATTGCATTCTAGTAATTATTTAAATTTTGTGAATATAAAACCCTAAAATTAATAGAAATTAAAAAAGAATAAAGGAATAATTCTAAAATTTGTAAAATTTCAAACTTAAATTAATCAAGGTTAAGTAGAGAACATGAATATCTAATGGGAACCCCTTTGATAATAGTGATTTTCAATAAGAAGTTGAGCTGTTATACAAAACTCAAATAAATAGATTTGAAAATTATTAAAGGACTGAATTGTAATTGTTTAAATCTGAAACTTATATGTTAAAGAAATGATATTGTATTTCAAAAGATGAAATAGTATCACCAATACTAATACGTGAGATAATAAAAAGGTCCTTTAAAGTATTGGCCAAATATGAATTAGATAAATGTTAAAAAGTAGGGCAAAAGTTATTGATCTATAAACATATTTATTAAAGAATATCAATATCGAAAAGGCTATCTAGCTCTTTTTCTATTTCAACAAATTATTTTGTATTATACTGTTACATTGAATTTATTTAATGATTTTCTCACAAAATATCAGAAGGAATATAAGTTCAAATTTATATAGGGTCTTAGTTATTAGAAGAATAGAATTTAATAAGAACTAAATATTAAGGAGGAGACCGTTTAAAATTGAATTTTCCTTTAGATTAATACTCATTCAACTAGTTTAACTACCAATTAAACGTGAAGGAATTTAAATCGATTCAGAGCATCGAAAAAACTTAAAGTATTAACTAACAATGATGAAAAAAAAAATAGGCCCTAATAAGAGTTTGGACTGTGAATATTTGAAAAAAATAATTATTTTCCATTAATTTATGTTTAGAACATTGTTGCTATCTAATATATTGATTAATCTCCATTCCCCTATCATATTATTTTAAAGTTCAAAGAAAGGACTTTCTATTGTAATTTGTTTAAACACAATAAAATTTAATTGAGTAATAAAAAAGGGTACATAAAATAAATTTCTAATTCTCATTCACTTCTGCTAGAGTTTGAACTTTATTAAAATAAAAGCAAATGTAAAGTCAATCGAGTATTCTGTGTAGTTGGATAATTATTCAAAAAATTCGGAATATAAAATGTTATTACTTTAAATTCAATGAAATTACTCAATATAAAAAGGAGTTTATGGGACTATATTATTTAAATCATCAAGTTTATTCAAACTAACCCATTTAATACTTGTCTATTTTCAGAATTTGTTTAATTTCTAAAATAAGATATTTAGTTTTGAATTAGAATCTTCAATTCTTGAAAAAATTTTGATGACAAAATGCTCATAAATTATTTTGAGAAAATTGATAGATGACAATAGCTCTGTTTCTTGCCTTATATGTAAAAACTGTATTAACAGATTTTGTACTTATCTTGAATCCTGACGAGCCATTTGTTGTCAAGGAATTTGACATTTTAGAAGAATAATATGAAGATGAGGCAATATTAAGACAAGGTGCTTGGTTTTAATACCTTCCCTTGATTTCAACCATTTAGGCACAATCTATAGGGATCCTAGATAGCAATTGCTTTCATTTATTTAGTTCTGTAGGGAAATACTCTTAAACTTTAAACATGTTATATTATGATTGTTAAGATCATGAGTAAATGACCATCACTAAATATATCAAATTTATGGGTAACGATGATTAATAATATAATTTTGAAATAAGCATAAACGTATTTGAATATGAAAATTAGTGGTATTATTTTGAATTCATATTATTTCTGTAAGAAAATAGATTTTAAATATTACTTATTAAAAATGAAGAAATTTTGAAAAATGACATTTTGAATGTTTTACCATTAAAAGATTAAAGGACAATTTTAAAAATTGGAGGTGATCTTGTAGTTGTAGATTCAAAATTACTCAATATTGCCAATGGAGATAAATTCGCTTCATTCCCAGGCAAAATTAAGGCAATTGATTTATCAGGTTCTGTTGTTGATTTTGTCGATTCTGCAATATACTTAGGAGAACCTTGGGAGAAATGTACATGTGTAGCCAATCCTATAAGTAGTTTAATTAACCAAGATTATGTTAATCTTATTACATCAATTTATACTTCAAGATTTCAGAATTGCGATTAGTTTACATTTACTGGATGGTTTAAGATTAATGAAATAATTCAAACTCATAATGTTCTTACATATTAATTTATTAAATTGACTTCAAATGTGTAAAATAATTTATTTTAGAACCAAAATATATCTCCTTTATAACTATTTTACCAGCTTTCAAAAAATCTAAATACAATAATTATCACAACATATAGTTACACATATCCATCCATCACTTTAGATTTTACAAAAGACCCATTTTTAATAACCAAAGAATTCCAGATTTTGAACAATATGTAGTTATGGCATCTCCTATATGTAAAATTAGAAAGAGAAGAATTTTCTGTCAATCTTAAATTTTTTGAGAATAGGTAAATTTACGAGTATAAGACATCAATTGTTGTTAAGCAATTTCATTAAATATATTTTAAGCTCTTTTTAGGCAATTTACAAAAGTCCACCAATAATTATCTAAATATTATAAGTAGGAATCTATATTTTTTTAATTGTAATAAAGATTTTTAATAACAAAATTGCCACATTTCATGTGGAGAATGTGATGGTCCAACTTATCAAGATTGTATATCTTGTTCCATAGAATCAAAAAGAATATATTTTCCAGAATATAAATAGTGTATATGTCCATAAGATACTGTTGATCATGATGATTAATGTTTAGGCTATCCTGATTTTGGCTTTTAGTTAATTTCAGGTGAAGAATAAAATGATGAGTGTTTGTATGGACAATTTGAGCTTAATGGCTTATGTTATCAATGGTAATTTTTAATAATTAAAATATTAGTCCAGGATAAATAAATTCATAAATTACAACTTGTTTTGAATGTGTTTAAAATCCAAAAGATTGGTACGATAACCCATTTTGTAATACATTTGTGTACCTAAATCAGGATGGAAGAACGACTTCGTTAGAATAAATATATTACTAATTTGCAGCTAAACCCTATTTCATTTTTAATGGTGTTAACCTTGAACTTTGTTTGGAATGTTAACAATCAAGTCTTACAAATTAGGAGAATATAAATTAAGATATAGCTAAGAAATAGGAATTATTTAATTCATTTTGTCTTTCTAAAATTTCAGGTTAATAATGTTCAAAATGCAGAATTGAATACTGCACGACTTGTGCTATTTAATAACAGGATAAATCTGTCTTTATTGTGAGGAATTCTCGAAATTAGAAGATGGTTAGTGTACCATGGTTTCTCCAGGAAAGTTAAAAGAAAATAATTGTTTATCACCGTATTACATATCATCAACAATGGAATGCAAAAAATGCTCTATTGAAAATTGCATTTATTGTTTTGAATATGTGGTTGATGATTTGAAATTAACAACTCTTTATCTGAACTTCAATTAATTCAATGGAGATGATAATATTTAGGTGGGATGTGCAATGTGTAATGATGGATATGTTTTTGATTTTAGAATTGGATTATGTCTTAAACAAACTCCAAAAATAGACTTCTGTCTTAGAAGTTATATTAATTAAGAGGGAACAGAAAAGTGTACTTTATCTTCAAAGTATGATTTCTCAGTCTCAAGAGAAATAATTAATTGTGAATAGTTCATTTCTAATTGTCTCTAATGTTTTCTTACTGTTTA